TTTTCATTATGATTATTTCCAGTTTGTGTACTCAAAGTAAGGAGGCAGAAAATGCTCACCCATGGGATGCTGAACAAGCCCAGTTAGTTTATAATCAGACATAACCTTCAGAAGTAATCTTGTTCATATGTCATATTGATGAGTTCCTGGTCAGTTCATAACTGTGTTACTTAGATAAGTTTTCAAATATCATCACCAAGTAAAAGGGAGCACACACTTTCAATTAGTCTTGATTAGAAAATTAAAACATAACACAGAAGAAAGAAACAGGAGATTATGTTTTTCCATATGTAAGGTAAATAAAGAAAACAATTTTTAAAATATATATATTTTTTCCTTATTTTCACTGCACAAGCATTGATTACATGTGCTTGGAACCCTTGCAAAATGTAGCTACTTAAGAACATAGGCTCAGCCGTTCAACATGTATTGCTTAAAGGGAATGAAATTAATTGAATTCTCAAACTCAAAATTTAAATATTTCTTTTATTTCGCTTTGAAAGTCGTGAGACCGACGGAATTTTGTCAAGCGACAAATACTGTTCCACTGCACTGTATGACTGAGGAGGGGCTGAAACCTGTGGTCCGCCTCATTACTATCTTGGGGGGATGGGATCAGAGGCTATTACACACAGCTCTTTAACCTCAGGCTACCTAGATAGAAAGTTGGATTTCTCACATCTTTGTTCAACACTATTGCAGAGTTAGACACCATTGAACATGTCCAGCTAGTTCACAGCTCACTTTGGAGCAGTGGTTTATGTAAAATAACTACATTTTAAAGGGGCACTGATCTTAAACAATTCCCGGGGACTGGTTGTTGCCTTTGTTATTGTTTTTTCCTGTGAGTACCCGGATGATATAGCAGAAACCTAGACTAGTTCGCAACCTGTGCTGCGCAATTCGTACGCGCATTTGTCACTTTTGTTGATAGTATAAGGGTGTATGGTCACATTGATCAACAAAATGAAATACAGTTTTGGAAATAAAAAGGAAATGTACGTACACTATTTTGACTTGCAACACAAAGTAAATATTTCTCCTGAGCATTGCTTATTTTATCGTGTTTATATTTTTACAGTCAAAATGTGCAAAATTTTCACTAAGGAAATTTGATTTAACGTCTTAATATTCAGTTATTTTACAAATTGACTGAAAAATATGTCCATCTGTATTATTATGACAACGAATTCCAAACATTTTTATGTTTAATATCATCACCAAGAGACTGAAAATGCTACGATGAAAAGTACATTTCTCTATTGTTTGGCTTCTAATCCTACATAATAATCTATTGTAATGTTTTTAGGCCCTTTTGATCGTCTTAATCAATTTTAGTCAATCTGTTAAAAAAATGGTCAAAATGACTGAAATATTTACATGCTTACAAAGGAAAAGACTTGTGAAAACAACGTCTATCGTGCATCGAAGAATGTCCCAACCAATTCGTAGAGGAACAAGAATGAATCTGTCCAATGCTACAGCAAATGAAGGAAATCAAAATGCAAATATCATAATTACAACCTACTAAATTCATGTGTATAATTTTAGGCAGCTTTCTTGTTCGAGGAATGTATCCGTGAATATCCACACAAAGGAACAATATCCCACACGTCTGCAGCTTTACAAAGAAACTTATTCGATGTCACTTCTCTCTGTAACAATCAAATATTTAAAAATATACGAGGGGTGTTCATTAAAGATTTCCCCTAAACCATATAGGGTTATCATATTTGGTTGAAATTTTACATGTGTAATGATACATGTATCTATGGGTTATGTCTGAATTTGCAGCACCGAACTATTTATCTTACCACTTTTACAGGTGTTAAGATCGAGTAGGGTGTGACAATGGAGCCAGTAGAATACCGAGCAGTGATTAGGTTTTTATATTTGAAAGGTCGCACACCAAAAGAAACTTTCGATGAAATGAAAGCAACTTATGGGGAAGATGCCCCATCATATGACATTGTTAAACACTGGCATCGCCAGTTCAAGTGTGGTCGGACATCTGTGGAAACAGCTGCCATTCCTTGTCACCCCCATTCAGCCATTGATGAGGACACTAGCCATCAAGTGGAGACCGCCATTTTGGCAGACCAACGTATAACTGTTCGCCAGTTAGCACAAGATGTCAAGATCAGTGTAGGGTCTGTGGAAAAAATCATCCATGACAATTTGAACATGCATAAGGTGTCTGCACGATGGATTCCCAGGTTGCTCACACCTTTCCAAAAGCAGGAACGAGTCAATTGCTCAAAGAATCTTTTGGACATGTGCCAAAAAAACCAGGCAAACTTTTTTGTCAGACTTATCACACAGGATGAAACATGGGTCCATCACTATGATCCTGAGACTAAAGTTCAGTCGATGCAATGGAAGCATGTGGAGTCACCACCCCCAAAGAAGGCACGTGTTCAACCCTCTGCAGGCAAGGTCATGCTCACGATGTTTTGGGACCAGCACGGAGTAGTGATGACGGATTTCTTGGCAAATTGCGGGACGCTATCAAGCTTAAGAGGCGTGGCATGCTGACCAAGGGTGTCCGTCTCCTGCAAAACAATGCTCCAGTACACAACTCTCATGTTGCCCAGACAGAAGCGCGGTCCTGTGGCTATGAAATCCTTCCACATCTTCCTTACTCTCCTGACCTTGTACCATCTGACTTCCACCTCTTTCCAACCATGAAGTCATTTTTGAAGGGAAAACGTTTCACAGATGATGAAACACTGATTTCTGAAGTCAAGTCCTGGTTTGAGACGCAAAATGAGGGCTTTTACAAGCGAGGTCTCCATAGTTGCATAAAACGATGGGAGAAGTGTGTAACTCTTGGTGGTTCCTATGTGGAGAAAGACTGATACCTAAGCCCAGTTTCATTCCACTTGGTCCATCGGAAGTGGGTCAGGGGAAATCTTTAATGAACACCCCTCGTATATATTGTTTCGGGATATTATAAACCGTGTTCATTTCTCAACTGATCACTTAGAATGTTTCAGGTGTTTCACATATGTGTCAAGCCTCAAAGTTCGTCTGAGAAAGCCCACGTGACAACTATTATCATAATGTCCACGGTTCCTAAAAAAATCCATTGAGTTAGATAACAATGAGCAATCAATCAATGTATTATCGGTTAACCCTTTGAACAAAGTATGTTGTTTTTACATCGGCACTTCACGCCATGATATGAGTGTATCCCTAGACATGTAAACACTCACTTTTGACTTATACACTGTGCAAGATAACAGTGATTAATCAATCAATATATTTTCTGTTAATCCTTTGATGACTAGGATCGATCCTTTGATTTACAAAAAAGTAAATCAACTGATCATTCATCTCTTGCTGGGCTGCCACGTGTATATTACATAACACACATTTCACCTCACTTCAAACCTGGATTTAGATTGAATGATTACCCCAGACACAATTAATGCCAAATGGGAACCTTTGTCAGGTATTCTGAGTGGTGCTACCACTAATTATACCTGTAATAAATTCATTAACTGAGCATTAAGTGAATGACGACAAATACACAAGTGTAGGTTTATACCAGAAAACGTGGATGACAACAAGAGAGTAGTAATCGTATTATCGACGCAATCCGAAATCCGAAAAATTCTTTCACTTCATGGATACTTTTTTTTAATATTAAACTATTACAATCAGGTTATCCGATGAGCTCTGCTGTTCTTTTTGTCTGTTTGTTTAGGCTGAAGAAATTAATTAACATGCGCCCTTTGTCAAAATCTTTGTAGATCACGGTTAATCAATCACTGTTCAAAAATGAGTAAAACAAATATTGCCTCCAAGTTTATTTTGCTGTCCTTGAAGACGGTAGCCCAGTCGATTGTCACGCTCAGTTGCTTGCATATCATCCAGGTACTCATGGGGGAAAAAACAATGACAAAGGCAACAACCAGTCCCGGGGAATTGCTTTAGATCAGTGCCCCTTTAATGTAAAACAACTGATCCATTCAGATTTTTACTTGTCTCAGACCAAAGAAGTAAATACGTCTTTGCTCAGACTAATGGACACATGTCTGTATCTAACCTGTCCATGACTAACCTGTATTTGAGGCCTTCTATTTATGCAACATGAACAGGTTGTAACAGCTGGTATGTGAAATGTTATGCTGAAACACAAAATTTTCTGCACTTGGATAGATTTATCAATAACTGAATACTTATTATTATTATGATGATATTGACAATGACTTTTTAGACTGATCCATCTTTACCTGTTTACACAAACCAGTTTTAATGACAGAGCAGGGTAGCTTGATGCCATTTTAGTGTTAGAAGAAAGATCTTCTGTCCCTCTGTCTGCTTGACAGCTCCATTGGGGGATGAAACTATACTGATATTTCACCATAACTTGTATAAAGGTCACAAATGCAAGGCAGATATTGATTCTCTTTTTTGTATGTTCTATTTAAATTTAAACGAATAATAAATCTTTAGAAAGCCGATGGGAAAGTTCAATGCTTCTAATGATTTGCATTATGAAACTATGAGAAGTTACTGTTTTGCAATATGTAGCAACCAATGAAATATGTACGCACATATAAGGTAAGAACTTTAGTGTTACAAACTGCCAAATAAACCAAAGTGATTAGCTTTGAACAGTTCTTAATTTGATTTAACCACATGAGCTTGTGGTGCCATGTCTTTTCTGCCCCTTCTTTCTTTTTTGCCATTGAAGATCCTCTTGAACTGGGTATGGCTCAAGATTGATAAACTTTAGTGAATAATAATTAATACCAATAAATCAGGTTAATGGTGATTCTTATTCGCGAATACAGGAGTATTGGAGCTTTGGAGTAACCTAGCAGTTAGAGTGATCGCTTAGCAATCTGAAGCCGCGGGTTCTATTCCCCACATGGGCATAATGTGTGAAGTCCATCTTTGGTGTACCCAACCCTGATATTGTTGGAATGTTTCTTAAAGTGGCACAAAACCACTTTCGCTCACTGTTTACGAATATTTACTTGTCCTTTCAGAATATGAGGTGGTTTTTCCCTACGTGTTTGATGGAGGTGATAATGTTGTGTCCCGAGACTGGAAGAAAGTGGCACGCCATAAAAGAAGTACCATTGGTCGGAGTGTCATCCACGTCAACATCAGTGGCTTTGGGGAAAACTTCAACCTGGAACTGTGGGAAAATAAGAAGCTTCTTGCACCAGGATTTAAAGTTTACCATCGGAAAAACGTGTCTAATGACACTATAGACGAAGAGCAGACGTCAGCGGAAGAGCTTGAGAATGATCTGGCGTGTTTATATACAGGGAATGTTCGTAACCACAACAACAACCCTGTGGCAGTCAATGTCTGTGATGGAATGGTGAGTGGTATGATTTGTGTTCTGTCCAAAAGTTGATAACATGTGGTTCTGATCTTTTAACAGGTAAAATGTACAGAGAGGAGCAAGGGGATGAAGGTGCTGGTGAGATAAAAAGTATATACAGTGAGACCTTGATAATCTGGACAGTATCGAAACCAAGGAAATTGTCTATATGAACAAATTTCTGGATTCACGAATCATGAGTATGGAGTAATGTCCACATGGTTGTATATGGACATTCCTTTCAAGATCGTCTGGAGGGTTGATTTCCTGGACTTGTGTCTTCCAGACTGACCGTATCATAGATGCACATTTATTTTTCATTCAAAGGTGGTAGCTTGATGGTTGCAGCATTTGCTTGTCACAGCAATCTGGGTTTGATTCCCTAAATGGGTACAATGTGTGATGCCCATGTTCTGTCCTGGCATGACATTGCTGGGAGATTGGTAACCCTGGTGTTACTGTGCATGGTGCCATCCACTGTAGAATCAGATAGATTATCAAATTTCTGTATTTCTGAATCATTGGTAATCATTAGTCTTTTAATTGAACTATAGGGTGGTGTGATAGCCCTCTTGGTTAACAAAACCAAAGACCTTGGTTTAATTCCACACATGGTTGCAATGTGTGGAGTTCATTGTCTGTTGCTCGCAGTGATATGGATGGAATATGTTAAAGCAAAGTAACACCATTCCAGCTCATGCAGCTGCAAATAGCTTGATATATTTTTATGGTCTTTTAATAGGACTTTGAGTTGATGAGACTCCATTGTGCCTTATTGTAGGTAAAGACCCATGGTTCACGGAGACTTAAAGAGGCCTTAAATTGAATCTGCATTGAATGGGCCTTAAATTTGAATCTGCATTGAATGGTCCTTAAATTTGAATCTGTATTGAAAGGGCCTTAAATTTGAATCTCCATTTGAAAAGACCATAAACTTTGATAAAATGCTACGAATGCCTTGAATTCAGCAATTCATGTAGCTGACGAATAGTCCATAATTTGGTTGATAAATAATATTGAAACGGTTGTGTGTGGACTTGAAAATTTGAACAGTCTAATTATGTACAAATGGAGCCTTCTGACATAAAACTAAAGTTTTGTATGAACCATGACATCTTTAACATATTGACAGAGCAGTGGTCATGCAGACCAGATTAGCGGCAGTAGTTTAACCTGATTGTGGAAGCATTGTCTCAACACAATAGGAAGTGTGTCACCTTTGACCTCTGTGTCCATGTGGGTGGACACTTGACCTCATTGTAAACACAAATACACTTGTCACCATGCACTGACCATACATGTCACACTGACTGACCTTTCAGTAACAGACTTTTCTACAACTGACATTTGAAGGAATCATTTAATGACAGGCTGTGACAGTTGTAGAGGTTAACGTGGAAGATCAGATTTCAGTTGGAAATAAACTTCTTTTTTTTGCTAATCATGTATTCAGAAATATATCACCACATACTCATTTTTAGTATTTTTTAAAAGTTTTTGTATGTGTATTTTAAATTTTAACAGACAACACCTACTCTCATTTTTGGACACATGTCAGTCACTAGACTCATTTTTTACCAACACACATTTCTTCAAGCTCTGCATAGTGATAGCTCATTCCTTAACAAGATATATAGAGCATGAAAAAGTTATCATAATCTCTGTGGGAGTCTTTTTTAAAAACACAAGTCTATGGGCAATAAAGGACTCTTTTTGCAATGTATTCTGATAGATTAAATATTATTTGAGATATGTCTTTGCACAGTGCAGGGAAAAAGTCATGGTTTCAAACATATCCCGTATGAAATGGAGCTTTATAATTATTCAGAAACTGACGGGACATGATTAACAGTTTGATGTTTCAAGTTGTTACCCATGTACTGTTTGAATTATGTTTTTAGATAATCATAGAAGGCTTACAGAGTGTGTGAAAGTCAGAAACTACAAAAGACGCTATTGTTGTTTTTGTAAGCCGAAATGATTAATTGTGTGAAATCACATCTGTCTCAATAGTATAATCTCATGTCCAATAAGAATTTGGATGTAATTAATCTTTGTTGATGAAGCATGAAGATATGAAGTAGAATCAGCCAATCATCATTCTGTGGTGGAAGGAGATTCAGAAGAGAGGCATACATCATGCATAATGACCATGCTATCTTCATCTCATAGCATCCACAGACAGGTTCATATCTCTCCTAGCCACTATCATATACAGTGTATAACAAATGTTTATGAAATCTTACTCTACAGCCCAGTGATACACTCTCTTAAACCATGCCCAATCTAACCAATATTTCTCCAGAATGGAAGATAGGAATCATTGTCCTTACATTTTGGTTCCGGATAATCAGACATTGGGACAAATGGTTTCACGAATAAATGAGTTACTCTGCAGATAGTTGATCCCTGTGAGCTTGTCAGATGATGCTATCAACATATCCAGCGTGATGATCGAGTCCAAGGGGAATGCGCACAACTGCTGCAAGGATATAGACTTTCTAACTGGGATTCCAGGGGTCACTGACTGGAACCAGGGAGACTCAACATCAGATATGGACACTGTTGGAATGAAGGCAATTACAAGAGAGGCAGATATTCTATGTCAAAGATGAGACCTTTTATCCAGCAATAGCCACAGGGACAGTTTCTACCCAGCCATGGCAGCTTAGTAGCATGCTTGTGATGTGTGTAGACTCTCGAGATGGGGCGAGAAGATGTGTGAAGCTAGTGAAGGGAGGCTTGACCTGTGGGATATGTGGGCTCCACTCCATGTGAAGCTGGATATCTATACATGCCCTGTGTGTTGCAGACCCCAGGTACCTATCAGCCACAGGGTCAAGTCCTGCACAACTTGTTGCTACTGGGAGGGGACCACCCACCTCCAACAGACAGAACAACACTTCTCTTATAGGATGTCTTTCTGTGGCCCAGGTCATCTAAGGCGCCTCAATTGGCTATGCTTCAAGTTGTGTCTCTTAGGCATGCCATAGAAACCTATGCCCATGGGTTTGAATCCCAGATTCACCCTGATTGGTATGGGATGTCTCTTTGGCCCAAGTTGTCTAAGGGGCCTCAATTTGTTATGCTTCAAGTTGCAGCACTTAGGCATATGCCATAGATACCTATGACTGAAGGGTTGAATCTCAGATTAACACTGGTTAGCTTTCATGGTTTGTCAGCTCCATGCCCGTGCTCTTGGGTTTCACCAAGATGGTAAACATCTAAGACCTGCATCACTTGGGGCTTTTCTCCTAGAACAATGTTCCATCATAAAATTAAACCACCTTCATTCTTCATTGTTCTTTGTGATTAATCGCGTAGCTATCTTATATTAAGTTATTTACCCATTACTGAAGGTTCATCATTGTTGTATTGGGGATGAGGTTCTTGACTTAAAGAAGTCATTAAATGATAGCATAATAGTTCCCACACAATGAGATGTTAATTAAAGGGTTTAAGTGCGACGCCTTAATGCTAGCAACAGTGTCGCTGCTCATTTGAGATGATGGTAGAAGGAACTGTATTCTATTGTAGTGTTTGTATGTGTTGAAGCAAGGACGCATGGGTCATTGGTTCGAATCCCAAACTTGCTAAGTTTTTTTGTGACCCCTTGTCTGTCACACCATACCAGGGGTTGTGGTTTGTGATTAACGTGTATGACCTGCATCACTTTGGCTTTCCTTCTTTAGATGTGACACCCTGTGATATAACTGAAATACTTTCAAAAGCAGCATATATTAAGCCTGAATCACTCACTACACGTTGCAAGTCCTGTGTCTATGTGTTTCGGACATCAGAGTACTCTGACATGCATATTTGGGACAATGTGGTGACTTATTGTCGACTCCATGCTTATAAGAGAATGTTGTTTCTATGTAATGAGGCCATATTTATTTACAGATTTTTGCTAATGCATCAACTTGGGTGAGTTAAAAGCAGAAAATATTTTTGTTGCAAATTTTTTGTTTTATTTTGCATGAAGTTGATTGGATCAGGTGTAGTTGGATTTAAATGCAAATACTGTTTAAGTGAGCGAGTTGGTTTTACACGGCATTGAATATCATTCCAGTTATATACTGGCGTGTCAGCTTACTGTGGGAGGTAAGCCCAAAGTGATGCAGGTCTCAGAGTTTTACCACTTTGGTGAAACACACAAGACATGCTGACAGATCTAGAAACATAATTGGGGTGAACCAGCATTCGGACCCACAATCATAGGTTTCTGGCATGCCCAAGGGACACAACTCTGCATTGCCAATTGCAGCGCCTTAAACAACTGGGCCACCCTGCCCCTTCTATTTTCTTTAAGAATGTTTAGTTCTGCTGATAGGAGGTTTTCAGTTTTATAGACAAAATGCTAAGCATTTGATACATTTTGATTTAAAAATTAATGGTTACTTTTGTTATGGATGATATTTGTTTCATAGTTTTATTATTCTGGTCTATCAAAGATGAAGTGTCAACAAATATAATAAATTGAAACTATTTTCATTTTGTTGGTTATGGCTTTTGGCACCATTAGGTCGAATGGGTAAACCGAAAATTAAAAAAGGTGTAATGTAACAACTTTGACAGTTTAGGAAATTTGTGTCTCTACAAACATGTATTTCATTTGGCATTTTATCTGAAAGGGAATGCAGCCACAGCTAACATGTGTTATCTACTCTGACAGTGAACCTTTAAGAATGGCGATACTGCATGTATGTAATGGGGCTCTGACACGTGTGTCAGAAACCCTTCTATAAGCAGTTTGTAATATATTAGAGGTATAAGGAGCAGGAAACAGTTGTCCCCCTTGCCGTGATGTAGAGGGTGCTGGTGATAGTCAGCCTTTGATGTGTACAGGTCTACTTGAAAGGTTGCATGCTACTACAGACAAAGTTTTCTTTACAACTGATCTTAGGGGTGCAGGTGGCAAGGGGATCAGTCAGGAGGGCTTGCATGGCTGTAAATATGAAACATGTCGTATAAACCATTGCCCAGACTGATAACTG